AATAAACACACACGCATACATAATTGAGAACTTATCTGCCACTCGAAGGACTATAAGATTTAGTCGGGTTGGAAAACTTGGTTGCGATGTGGCGAGGATACGGAGCGTACTGATTTGAACTGACCATCCCACAGACTTTATCGTCACGCACAACCCTTCAGTTCTTCCAGTCAACCATACATTCAAATCAAATCAATCTCAATTATCCTACTAATCAATCACAAGTAATTGTGAGTTAACTGTGAAATAAAGAAAGTAATAAGAAAAGATCACACCCAGATTTTATGCAACAAGGACAAAATCAACCAACTCACGCGTAACCATAGTGTCAGGTTCTTTCGAACCGTTTGAGGAAATATTCGTGGAATAGGTGTTACACGGACTAGTGATCGCAGTCAGTAGACATAGGATGGTTACTTCCACATCCAGATCCAAGCGAATGTCTACCACATGGGGATAATCGGATTCTCGGAATCGATGGTTCATGTTGAAAAAGGCAAGAGAGGAAAAGACTAACTTGCAACTCGAGGAAACATACGTAAACCATATCTATCCCTCGTTAAAAAACGAGTAGAGTACATTTAAGAAATAGAAATCCCTGGGAAGAGCGAATTCGGAGAAATGAAAAAAGCAGCGGCTCGCATTAGACTGACGAAATAGTTTTTCTCCGAAAGAATAAACTGATCAAAGCCGGATATTCTATTCTAATTGATAAAGATGTTCACACAGTTTGACCTGACCTCTGATCGTTTCAAGAAGTCAAACCGACCTATCAGAGCGGACTCGAGTTGAAAAGGAAAAACCGGAGAAACCGGAGCTGGAGGTCTCTATGATCAATCCTGAAAAATCCCTCTCGCACTGTAGACTGTGCCTGAACCACGCCATACGTGTCCAGTATCCTCTTCTAACCATTCCATTACTTCAACCCTTTATAAGACAGTCCGTTGTTTATCAAACGTCAGTAAAGCAACACGTACATATGCACACCGGTAAACATAACAACCAGCACAAATTGACGTAGCTGAGAGTAGTGAATCTTCTCGAAAACGAAGTCAAAGTCAAAGTTTTATTATGGGCGATTTAACAAAGCTAGAGCTTATCATGCCCCAAAGATGTTTACAGAATGTTTTGAATAACTTCACAAAGAGAAAATAACAGTGATAATGATGTGCGTGATCACTGACAGATGTTGAAATTTTAAGTGTTCCAATGCTTTATCAAGTTGCGATTTAAATAGTTCAATTGTAGGGGCACACACTACATCAGATGGGAGAGAATTCCATACGCCGCACACTCTGACAGCAAAAGACTGAAACCGGCAATCAAGGTGGCTGTTCTGGGTCTTCACCTTTAGTGAATGTCCCCTTAGGAGATCATTATGAGATAAAGTCATCAGAGAACGGTAAGGGTGGTTGGTTGATGCAGTATGTGATATGCCAATATTAGGTCCCCACGAAGTCGGCGGCATCGGGATGAGTAGAGTCCCAATATTAGCAGTCTTTGGGAGTATGTCTTGTTATATAGACCGTTTACCAATTTCGTTGCCAGCCTTTGCGGAGTTTCTAGAGCCTTCCTGTCGCGGTTTAACCGTGGATTCCATACTTGAACGGCGTATTCCGTGTGTGGCCGAACGAATGCTGATAACAAGCGTGGGAACAGTGCTCTTTCAAACTGCCCGAAAACACGTCTGAATAGTACAACTTGCTTTAGAGCCATAGATGATGCTCTTGCACATTGCGTGAAACAATATCAACTGACCCGGAAAAGATGACCTGAAGCTATTTTCACTCATATTCTATACCGCCATACGGAATAACTACGAGATTGAAAAGCGCCCAAACCAATAACCTAGGCGAAGAACTTTTCAACTGATTCACTACTGAACATCCCCTTTTGAAAACGCATGAATACACAATGGAAACGCGCTACAATTTTCTTTTTTTTTGGCTGGGCTTCCAGTTAAGTTAGATCGCATCTCGCGAGTGTCTCGATCATAAATTCTATCAGGTGAGCTGTGGTTGTCGTTTCATAGGATTCACAACAAATGAGGAAATTGTGAACAACAACATGCGGAGAGATACCGCGTCTGTTCACGGAAACAAACGTTGGAACAGTGAGGCATTTTCCTCACCAACCAACAACAGTAAGAGAGAGAGAGAGAGAGAGAGAGAGAGAGACAAACCAATAAACCTAAGGATCTTTTAAAATTACTTTACTTGGTCTACGTTTTTTGGAGATCGTGACATATCACCGGAGTCTCACACAAGAACCGCCCCGAATGCAGTCAAGCTCATGCACAAGGATGTATCCCCCTACATAAGCCGTAAATTGTTGAAAATTCAATCTTCGGATGTATGAAGCGTTTCCTGACAATTTTAGCTCTGACAGTTGGCCAAATTTTCTTTCTACTCACTGAATCAAGTAGTGGATGTTGGTCGTTCACTTGGATGATGCTATTTTCGACACCACACGTCATCCATCTGGTCGAGGTTGCAACACCTTATTTACCCAAAAACAGTTTATCCCAACCATGGAGCGGTTTACCGAGGTAAAAATGCTGAAGCACATCTGAGCGTCGTTCGAGGAGTGGAAATAATGTGGAATGACTGTAGCTCGGCATGCGGTAGTTGTTTTTGGCTTGTTCTCCGAGGTGGAAATGTTGTTCGCAGACGTTTCGTATCCAGGCTAGTGAACATGACCATCATCGAAGTAGCACCGACAGTGTTGTCTAGACAACAACTGCGAGTAACACTTCCAGCTCTCGACGAACAAATCAACATCAACAACAACGTCACGTGTGAGTAGTTCGATGGACATAGAAAGCAGAGAAATTAATTAGATCCGAAGGGCCAAAGTTCTATCAGTTCAAAAGTATCATCATTTTCAGATAGCTCTTACTATTATGCCGCTCACTTAGGGTAACGAGTAGATTAAGTGTTGGCATTTGAAGGGGCGAATCAGAGAAAATTCCAATTTATATAATTGTTCTATCGCACCGGAATATATATATATATATATACAGGTATTGACCAAACTCGTGCAACATCCTGATTTTTATTACATTTGTTCCTCTAAA